TGTTTTGCGAGCTTGACGGCCGGGTGCTAGGGGGTGCAGTTTGGGGTGCTAGTGGAGGTGCCGCTTTGCGAGATTGACGGCCGGGTGCTAGGGGCATGTGGGTGCTGGTGGATGTTGTTTTGCGAGATTGTCGGCTGGGTGCTAGAAGCATGATGTGCTGCTGACCGCGCCGGCGCTTATTTCCCAGATAACTGAAAACCATGCGGGTTCTAACTTCTAATGAAGAAGGGGAATTGTTTTGCAAGATCGACGGCTGGGGGCTAGGGGGCATGCGCTTTGGGGTACTGGTGCAGGTGCGGTTTTGGGGCGCTGTTCGGGCTGGTAATAGTACCTGGCGGCAGGGAGCTCGGGGACATGTCCGGTGCTGGCGCGGGTGCTGCGTTGGGGTGCTGCTGGGGCTGCTGTCTTGAGGTGTTGGCGCGGAATCGTTCGTGGCTGGTGCATCAACATGATGCTGTCAACATCACCAGTATGCTGCTGAACTCATAAGGACGTTGTCTGCGCGTCAAAAAAACACCATGCAGAGCGGCTATGGTATCACCATGATGCTGTCAACATCATCATGATGCTGTCAACATCAGCATGATGCCGCGGGAACCATTATGATGCTGCGTCATGGTTCGTAGCCGTGGTGCGCTATCTGGGGTCTATGCTGGTGTATTCTTTGTATTTTCATCCTTTCCAATTGTTTCAGTATTGACTCATCGTCTTCCTGTAGTCTTTTCTCAGTTTTATGGTTCGGGCTGGACCGCTGGGACACCCCGCCCCCCCCTGATTCTTCCCCAGATACTGATTTGCGATATTGACGGCTGGGTGCTAAGGGGCATGCAGTTTGAGGTGCTGGTGAGTTTTGGGTTCTGTTTGAGGCGCTGGTGACTGTGCGGGCGCATTTTTTCGCGATTGACGGCCGGGTGCTTTGGGGGTGCTGTTTGTGGCGCTCTTTGGGGAGTTGGTGCTGGTGTGCAATTATCGGCCTGGGGTTCGCTTTCTGGAGTCTAGGCTGGTGTAATTTTTTGTGTGTATTCATTTTCTAAAATTATTAAAATTGTGATGACGAACATGATGATGAACATGATGATGAAATTGATGATGGACATGATGATGAACATGATGACGAAAACGATGATGAGCATGATGATGAATAATGATGAGAAGGACAATGGACATGATGAAAATGATGATGACCATGATGTGCCAGTGATGATGAACATGATGACAACAATGATGATGAACATCATGATGAACATGAAGATGCAAATGTTGTTGTTGATGAACATCTGATGATGATGACGATGATGAAAATGTCAATGATGCAAACAATGGTGGGGGTGGATCTTTCGCTTTTTATCAGCTGCATTTTGTTCAAGTCCTTCAATTCATTGAAATGAATAGAAAACATTAAAAACACATCCGTAGTTTTTGTATTTTCATGTGTTTCAAGCGATTGAAATATTGACTTCCTGTAGTCTTTCCTCAGTCTTATGGTTCGGGCTGGAATGCTGCCCCCCAACTGATTTTTTGTTTTCCCTTTTTTCCCCAATTCTTTCTGTTCATCATCATGTCCATCATCAAAATTCATCAGCATGTTCAATGTGTTCATCATCGTCCTCATCATCATGTTTCAGCATCATTCTCGTCATCATGTCCATCATCAAGTTCATCATTTCCATCATCCTTCTCATCATTATGCATCATCAGTTTTATCATTTGTTCATCATGTTCATCATCATTATCATCATCATGCCCATCCTCAGTTTCATCATCATGCCCATCCTCAGTTTCATCATCATTATCATCATAATCATCATTATCATCATCATTATCATTTTCACATCCAAGAGAGGATGAGCAATTCGGGTGGAAACTGATCCGCAGCTGACCCCCAGCCACTCAGCCACTCAATAACATATAAATATTCTATCCATGCCATTTATGATTTTATTAGGTGTCTATCTTGTGTTCTTCTCTATTTCTTTGATGATCATCATGCATCATTGTCTTGTGTCTAATCTGGTATCTCCCACCAGTAACTCTTGATTGCAAGGTAAAACGAGATGGACAAATACACATCATGGCACTTCTAGCTTTGAATGTAAACTGACATCTTCCTTTATCCTCGTGAAGGGGAAATGCAAGGGAAGTGCAGGGAAAAATGAAGGGGACATGAACGAGGAACACATAGGAAGGACATGCCGGGGAAATCAAAGGGAAAGCCAGTAGTAAGAAGACAATTCAAGGTTCTGAAGGGGCATGACACGGAAATCGAGGCAACTCCGGGAGACATGACACTGCAATGCAAACAGGGCGAGAGAGAGAGAGAGAGAGAAAGAAAGAAAGAAAGAAAGGAAGAGAGTGGAGAGAGAGAGAGAAAGAGAAAGGGAGAGAGAGATAAAGAGAGAGAGAGAAGAGGGAGAGAGAGTAGAGAGAAAGGCAGCGACCAGGGAGAGTGAGGCATAGAGAGGAGCACACACACACACACACACCCACACACACCCACACA